ACAGGTCCCTATTAAATAAATCACTCATGATTTACGACTTTGCAGGGTCATATCGTCAGTTGGGTGCATGCTATGTAGATGAAAATACCACCATTCGATTCAGTGAAACAATATCTCCTAATACCTGTCGATAGTTTTAGTCAAATATAATTTTAGTGAAATTGTATAACAATTTATGACCTTTCGACAGGTCAAGCGGTGTCATATTTCATTATATTAATCAATTGTCTCGAACAATGTAAACTATCAATACCTTTTGCCGAACATAACTTCGGCCCCTTTTGAGATATCGTTTTCGTTATAGTCTTATTCGAAACAGAATCAAAAACACTATTGAAAGTGTTATTTTCAAGCTTGTAGCCTTAGTTTTTCGTCTTTTATTTCGGTATTTCAATCTGTTGCGAAACTAATGAAATCAGCAGGATATTTTTAACCGGAAATACATTTTAGATCTGCCAAAACATCGCGTGTTTACATCCTAGCGTTCGGAAAACATCGGAAATCGATTCTAAAGGTCAAATTACATCTGAAGCGTGCTTTTCACGTGCACTGGGCTACGGGAGACCACTTATTGACCAATTTTACATGCAGCACGCGCGTGCGAGTAAAAACCCGATGAAACCCGATATTTTGAAAAAAACAAAATAAACATTTCTACTCGCCGTATTCAAACGAAACTTTCTACATAAAAGCGCTTGAATACAAGGAATATTTCACTAACATTAACTTGTGGCGAATACTGAAGAGTTTAGAAAATATTCAACATTTTCTCCATATAAAAATACAGAATGTTTGGCCAAGCGGTGAGTAAATATACGATTGTTTCGGTTTGTGTATTTGTTTTGACGGCATTAGACCCCCCGATGAAAAGCTTATTTTGTTAAGATTCCAATGGTGTTCTTTGTTTTTAAGGGGGGTGAATACGCACTGAAATATTTACGTTATAAAACAGTTGAATCAAAATATTGCTTGCCGTGAAAAATGTCACATGTCGAGAAATTAAATAACCTAGGATAGTGTAAGTTTACTCTCTTAGTGTAGATAAACACCAAATTGGTTTCCCCACAGAGGCAAGCGGATTTACACCAAAAGCAGCGTTAAATAACCTAGGATCGTGCAAATTTACACCAAATGGGTGTTCACATAGACACAACTATTTACACTAAAATCAGTGTTAGCTCTGACACCTTTTCGGTGTCCCTGCAGAGGCAAGAACTTACACCGATTTTGGTGTTGTGGCAACACACCCAGATTTACAAGGTGGAGGCTTCTGAAGTGCTAAAGTACTTCTAGTGACAAACAATTAGGCTAAACTTCTCGAAACCTGTCAGGAACAGATCGAACAGTTGTTTAAAAATTTTAACACTTGTTTTCTCGGGATGTACGTGCGTTTTCCGTCTTTGAAAAAAATATCTCATGATCCATTTAACCAATTTTCCTGAAATTTTCAGGGCTTATTCTTTTATTAGACCTGTCTTAAATGAGCATAGGAAATTTCTGTATCTTGCGTGGAATACATTTTATGACAAAATAAAATGTGGAAAAAACGTATGTTAGCTTTGTACCTCTGCTGCGAGTTCGTGACCACTAGATTTATCATACAAAAAAGTTCTATGCTCATTTGAGATAATGATGCCATTTTCTACTTACTGATAAAATTTCTTAGAATTCAAGAAAATTTATAAGCAGATATCTTTTCTCATATGGACCCTAGTTTTGCACAACATGTGGTATGATTGCCGGCCTGGTTTCAGGTTACAAAGGACGTTATGTACAAATGATTAGTATGTTTAGATTTTATAGGTCATAATTAGCTTTCTACTGATAAACAGTTTGTCATAACTTTGGAAATATCTTTAAAATTACAGCCATTCAAAAATGGCCATCAATCTATGTGTACCCCCGCCTTAATGTAAAGAGTTCAATTCAAATGAATATTAATTACCTGCTGTTGGAAACCAAGTGCAAATGTTGCTAATGCCAGTGCTGACTTCTGGCTGCCATGAATCATAAATACTTTCACAACTGCGTCATTTGGGGTATGGAGTGGAACAACTTTCTCCTTGTTTGTTCTAACGGCCTGAAGCTCCAGTCCATTGGTTCCTTCTGCCTCCCCTTCTTCTTCAATGACATTTTTTGACATGAAGCTCTTTGTTTTGTTATCAATCCCTGACGCGTCGTTTTCATGACAAGTCGTACTTACCTTGCTAATTTGTTTCAGGATTTCATTGATAATGGTTAGACCACTCGTCTTTGGTTGAATGAAATAGTATGTCTAAATGTTAAGAAAAAGTGACAGCACACAATGCAGCAATGTGTCTAAACAAATTAAGCAACTAATAACACTAAAAATAATATTACATAAAACTATATATGTACTATTTAGAACACAAGCAAGAGTGCTTTATCAGATATAAAACACAAGTCGACAGCCAACTGTCTTATATCTGTTAAAGCACGGACTGCGAGTGTTGTCTAAGCCGAGAAAGTCAAAGCTTCTAAATTTGCACCAATTTTTACAAAATTTACTCTTCAAAATAATTTTAAATAATTTTATGCTTGCGTCAAGGTTTTACAAATTTTGCCGAATTTGCAGTTTAGCGAACATTTACAAACTGTGCAAATTTTTTTGTACATCGCGATCCTGTATATTTAGACCTACAACCAGGAGCAATTCCACTAAGAATTTACATTTACAAAATCCTTAAATCTTTGGATGCAAAATCCGTTTTTGGATCAAACTTGGATTACACCAATAATTAATCCTATTGCAGTTTTAATTAAACGAAGTTTGGCATTGCCTTAAATGCGCATGCGTGAGTTTGTTAGTCTGTTAGTTTGTTCGGAATCATAAGCCTTGGACCTTGGTAGACTTATTCAGAAATGGTACGTCTTCGCTCTTGTGGTGCACTTGTTTTGCACATACTCTAGGAGACCACACTGTAGAACTATGTCTTATTTTGTAAAATGTCTAGTTTCAGGATCTGCTGTATTTATCAATAAATATATAAACATTTGTTTCTGTTTTTGTAAAGTAAACGAAACTGCATGATTTTAAGGCACGTTATGCTCGATTATAAAAAAATGAAACTACTTACTTCAAACGTGGCACCAATGTTATTTCTTATTTGAAGTTTCATATTTGTCGCGGCAATTGAGTCAATTCCGTATTTGTGTAGTCCAACATTTAAGTCGAGTTCAGCGACATCGGCTCCTGACCAGGAAGACAGCAAACGTTTAATAAACTCTTGAACGTAATTCTTTCTTAACTCTAACGGTTGTAGTGCTAGGTCTTCCAGTGTCATGACATTGTTCTCTTCAGCCGCTACGAGTGTTTCTTCTCGGATCATCTGCAGTCTTGGAGAAGCATGATTTTGGAGGTAGACTTGCCAATTCATAGCAGATATGCAAATTTGAGCTTCGTTGGTATTCTCGAGTAGGATACGTTTTAGAAATTCGATTGCTGAAACGAAAATTCGCTACTTTCAATTTGCTTATTTCTTGTATAAGTTATTTCAAGGGTATATATGTGGCGTGATCCCTTATATTATTTACGGGTTGTTTGTATTATACGAGTGGCGGGCATAATACAGTAAAACAAGTAAATATAAAGCCGGGCTTTTCATGTTGTTGTCCGTTTATTATCTATGTCACATTTTACAAGATGTTCATGATTTAATATTCTGATGATAACAACAAATAAAAACAACGACCTATGTAGTGGAGTATATAGGATAGCGGTTGTTATACTGTATGGCAGCAATTGTCTTTCCCCCCCCTATCCCCTTCTCTACAGGCCACGATTACGAGAAACAATATGGAGGTAGGATGTTTCTAAATCGGGTTAGAACAGATAAAACTCGTATAAAGTCGTTGGTTGGTATTTATTTTCAGGCTTAGTATGGATTTCATTTTTCTTCTCTCCCTCTTGTAAAAAAAGTTTTCGAAAACAAAATATGACAAAGGCAAGACTCGTCAAAATTAAGAAAATGATGTGTGTTTGCAGTGTTGAGTGTTGTATGCATAATATATTTAGCTAAAATTTAAAGTAAACGACATTGTTCTGTGAAAATAGCCAAATATCAAGTTTCTAGCTGTCCAATATCTTTTTATATGTGAAAATGACCACATTATCATCAGCCAACTTAATTGCCTATAATTATTATATACAAGACATTTTATAGAAATGTTGACAATGCATAAATTATATCAACTTTACGAAGTGATGTTGTTTGCTAGAAATAAAAAATCGTACAACCTATACACAGCAATAATCAAACAGTTGGACACAAATGTGGCAATATGCTATGGCAATAATGGTGATTCAAGATGTTTTGGCTTTTCACGCACTTTACTTAAAAAAATGCCTGGTTCTCCCCATTTTTTATTGTTGAAACCATTTTTTTTGTAGTACAATAAACTACCTGAACAATTTAAAAAAAGTCGGTAAAGTCGAATTTAAAAATATATAAACATAGTATTTCAAAATAAATCTTTTTGAGCTCTACAGAATTTTTCGAATGTATTGTACTACAATAAAAAATGGGGTAGGCAAGCGTTTTATTTTAAGTAAAGTGCGTTAAAAGCCAAACTATCGGCCATCTTGAATCGTCATTGTTGCCATAGCAACAGTGGTGGCGTCGCTTTTGTGACAAATTTCAAATAAATAACATTTCTTGAAAAAGTTTGATCTAATTCATGATTTTCCCCAATTTTTAAGTTGTAGGGAACCACTTAAGAGGAGAGCAATTACTGTAGCCTTTTTCACAGTCGATTTTTCCACCATTTTCGGGGGACTGCCTCACCCACGTTTGAGAGTCTCCGCACCACAAAATACTACTTTTTAGTATTGTACTTGTTTGTATAATGGTAAGTTTATAGTTATAACTTTTGAAAGTCGCTTTTCACGTTGTTTGAATTGTCTAGAATCTTTCATGAGGGCAGAGTAACCCAAAAATGGCAGGTTTTGGTCTTTGTGGCAAAGGCTAATTATTTCATTAATTATTTATCTTCTGTAATCAGTGGCAAATACTGCAATTTCATTGGTTTACAGGAGTGCGATTTGAGCATTAATCGCACCTTTTCTGAGCTGTAATCGCACTCTTGTCTACAGCCAATGAAAATCAGTCTAGTATTTACACTAGCCAATCAGCACTCAGGATACAAACTTTGAATTTTATTTTATTTATTGCTGTAAAAAATTCAAAATGGAGGAATTCACAAATTTTGCCCTTTTAATTTTTAAATCAGCCCTCGAAAACCGTCAAAATTGAGGTCGGAAAAAAAATGCCGACCTAAATCTGACCTATCTCGGCATTTTTTAAAATCTGTTTCCATGTCTTGGAGCACTAGTAATCACGTATTTACGAATCATTGAAAAGTATAAATGTCACGAAGCCTTTTCTTTTAGAGTTTTACCTAAATTATAACATAAATATACCCGTTAATTCTTAAACCTTACAGCAAAGTGCATCGAATTAATAATCGCTGACTTTTTAACAACTATAAGAACCAAAAAGATTCTTACTTTGGCTGATAGGTCAGCATTTTAATACTGAAGGTCGGCATTGCCGAATGCCGATCTCGTTTTCGAGGGTTGTTAAATTATATATTTTCTGACGAAAATGACCTACCTGTTCATCCAGCAGAAGACACCGAACTAGACACAATCCAATTCAGATGATTAATTGAACTAAAGAACTTCACTATTTTGAACACGTTATAAACATACAAACATGGCTTCCCAATTGTGTTTTGAATAATTCAAACAAATGTTGTCATGTGGTTATACCGGAAATAATGCCCGGAAGTTAATAATATGTTAATTTGATTATATATGATAAATAATAATTCAAAATCGTACTATTTCACTAAGAATTGTCGTGACAAAAATTTAAAAATTATATTGAATTTCAACAAATTGTATTTTTCTGCTTTTCCCCCTTAAACATTTTGATTACAGAAGATAAATAATTAATAAGTAATAGAACGAATTAAGTCGTACTATTAATGCCATAATCATACTCGTGATTAACAAATCAACCTCCCGCTACGCGGTCGGTTGATTTTGTAATCACTCGTATGATTATGGCATTAATAGCACTCCTATTCGTTCTATTACCATCATTAATTGCGCTCACCAGGAGAGTGCATTTAATGATTTGAAAAAAACAAAATGACGGCTCGTTTAAAACAAAAGCAGAAAATGAAAATACACAAAAAAAGCACACTAGCCTAAACTTCTCTTGCTGAACTTTTTCAATATCTTGAACTTGCACAATCATGTTTGTTGACGTATCAATAAGCGTCTTGTATTGTTTTATATTGCTGTTTTGCTTGTGAACTTCACATCAATCTTAAACCATGTATTGTTAAGGAACATGTTTATTGTTAAATGTTCAAATAAACCGGATCTTGTTTATTTCAACCGTGTTTCAAATCTCAAATGAGTTAAAATATACATGTGTTCTCTGCATTCGCGTAACATCAATACCAGAGGTGGGGGGGGGGGGTGGTTGCTATAATTTTGTCATGTATACGATGCATAAATAATGACACGGACAAGTCGTGCAATTAATGAATAGATCACCTATACATATTAATTAATACGTCACAGTGATTCTATATGGCCCCCTATTGTGCTTCAACCACTCAGGTTTTCAATAGTACAAACTTCTGGCAAATAGTCGGTGTTTTTATCATCACAATTACCGAATATTTATATCTGTCAAAAATTTATCTCCTATCCCTACATACTGTACCTGTTGTGTAGTGTAGAGCATATAATCCATTTGTTTCAAGAATTGATGTGATATCTGTATTCCTCTCGAGCACCCCAGTACCACTGATTGGTCCCCAGTTCACAGACAGCGCTGGCAGGCCAAGTTTGTGTCGGCGATATTCACATAATTGGTCCATAAATGAGTTGGCTGCTGCGTAAGCAACTTGACCAACATTACCAAGAACACCAGATATTGAGGAGAACGTAATGAAGAAATCGAGATCCATCGAGAGACTGAGTTGATGAAGGATAACACTTCCTAATGTAAAATATCCAATATCCTAATTATGATACTTAATTCGTTGTCTCGGGAATGATAACAAACGACTTGTCCGGGATTTACGCTTATACTAATTTTCATGAGTAAATATGAAGGGCAAATGTTAGTGGTTCTAATCAATGGATTACGGAAGTCATGGCCACAAATTTGTGACAGTCAGCGAAACACGTCGCAAACGCGCGAAGGCATTCCCAAAATACAATATTTCTCTAGCTTATTATTATTTGCAGTTAATTAATTAAATAATTAATTAATTAATTAACAGGATTCATTAAGGTTTCTCACAAATTTCTCGCCTTGTGCATAAACATGAATTAAAAGATATGACCATCATATCACATCACCACAATCATTATAGTCAAGATATTAAAACTAGAGAAAGGAAGAATGAAATGAAAAAAACCGGAAATATTTACCTTTCATTTTTGTCTCCGCAACCTTTTTGCATGTTTTCAAGTCGGCGTCTTTGAGCAACTGATCTGCCAAAACCATGGCTGTAAAAACAATGCCAGCTACAGCGGGTAAATGTTCGAGTTCCTCTTTAATTATATTCATATCTTTCCAAGATGTAACATCTGCCTGTCTCAGAAGAATTTGCGAACCAGTATCCTGCTGCAAACGTTGAACATCAGCTTTTCTTTCCTTACTTGCTGCTGAACGAGCTGTACACATGACTGTTTTTGCACCATTTTTAACCATCCATTTGGCGACCTCAAATCCAAAACCACGAACACCGCCAATTACAAGATATGTGCGATCATCTTTCAAACCGTTTCCGTCCAGTGGTAAACTGTAAAAGCTAACTTTGTCAGGAGTATCCTTAGGCTTCAAAGAAACTGTGTACAAGCAAATTTTCTTCTCCCTTTCCAAAGGAGAATTTATATTCTTAGATTTATCGTTTGTGACGTCATATATATTGGATGCAAGCTGAGGTATTTTCGAAATTCTTTCGAAAAAACTTCTTGATTTCAAAACAGAACAACACGGACCCAACAACTTTGAAAAGTTCTTAGAATTATCGGTGATATCTTCCAAACTGGTCATAATACACTGGACATCTTTGTCGTGAATAAACGGGTTAAATCTGACATTTTCTTCTCCATGGACAGTAACCACATAAGCACCTGGTTTAAGATGTTTCATTATTTGACGAGATACGTGCGTACTGGTGTCACTGAGAAGGCAAACTGCATCTAAACTCAATGAGCTAGTACCATTTGATTCCGATCTTGCCATTTCGTCTGCAGTTATTAGCACTATGTCTCCAAATTTCTTAATTCGATCTTTACTGGATCCATCTTTGACAAGGCACACGACATTTATATCCAAAGACATAGCAACGCATGCGAAGATGCAGCAAATTTCTTCCCTTCGATGATGGATAAAGACTTTCTTTCCTTGCATGTTGCTAAGAAGATTTGTAAGAATGTGGTAAGACATTGCCAGTGGAAAGCTAAGCGAAGCAGCTTGCTGAGCAGTTACGTTATCTTCTATTTCTGTGAAACAGCATTTCTCTCCATCAACATAATTCCCCAGGTCATCAATTTTGCAAACGCCAACCACGAAGCAATTTTGTTGTTCTTTGTACCCATTACAGAATTTTCCTGCAAAGGTAACGCGATCATTCAGTTTAAGGTCAAGCCAAGGCTTCTGAAGAATTGGACAGGCGAAGTAGACTTCAATTTTCATTTTTCCTTTTATCCGTTTGTTGGATGTTTTCTGTAAAAACCACTGGGCTCGCATTTTTGTCATCTTAAAAGGCTTTTGCGCTCCATCTTTCGTGAGAGGCGACTCCTCTTTGGTAAATTTTCCGCCGTCTAAATGCAACTTCCTAAAGCGATTAACATAACGTATTCCATCTCTATAGACAATTTCTTCTTCTATGGTTGTTTTTCTCACATCTTCTACCATGGTATAGAAATCGTTATCGCTGGGATTGTTAGGCAAATCAACCACAGATGCATTTGGTGCAGTTATTTCTTCTGAAAAAGTTCTCCTGAATCCAAAAACAGAAGCAGACCACGGGAAAGCATTTGAGTTAACAATGGTAGGATTACGATCAGGTTGAGGAATTATAACTAATCCTGAAGTGACAAAAACGAGCTGAATAATTTTGGCAAAAGCTTCTCTTTTTATAATTTCTTGTGAAATCGAGAGACAACTTTCAAATGCAAGCCCATGACTTGCATCGAAGTTGCACGTATCAGCATTGAATTTGCTGGCGTCTACCGGCCAGAAATTGATCACCAGTAACTTTTCATTGCTCTTCATTTTCCTCAATACCTCTTCTAGTACTTCAGAAAATATGTCGCATGTTTTATTTGAGGTATCTTGTATGTCAACAAAATGCACACTTTCACCAGCTGGAATATTCTGAGAAAACCGTTCAGCAAACTTGCTTTGATCCCTAAGAAGAAGCCAAACGTTGCCTTGACTCGTTGCCGGGGTTTCAGGCGTTAATTTCTCCCAACCGAAAGTGAATGATGTGTTCTCGAAAGTCACTTTCGTTTTTTCTGCTGAAATTTCTGCTACGATAAATTTTTCAAAAATCATCACTGGTTTAGCATTACGATCCATCAACGTAATGTTGAAGTTTGGTGTTTTGTCTGATTCTATGATCTTTGCATGGGCATAAAACTGTTCTATGCATGTGGGTTTTCCCACAATCGTGATATGTGTGATTTTCTGTGGCACAAATTTACGTTCGTTATCTTTGAAGAGAAGCATTGTCTGCAAAGACGCATCAATTACAGAAGGATGTATAACGTAAGCTGATGCTTCTTTATTGATCTCTTCAGTTGGACATATCAGAGCAAGAACTTCAGTGCCGTTGGACCATGCGTCTGTTATTAAATCAAACTGGGGACCAAATGCGAAACCCAACTTTTCACGTTCTGTTTTAAGATCGTTTTTCGACCATTTAGTCATTGCACATTTATAATCTTCAAAATCTTTAGGAGTTCCTTGTTGGGATGATTCTTAATTTAAGTGAAAAAGAACACAATTAAAAATAAATATAATAAATTTTGTTCAGAAATGGCACAAATGTATTTTGTATATTTGCTAACGTTTTGTTTTGTGTTTCCTTAACACATAATAGACTTTTTGTTGGAAAGGAACTTCTTATCCAAAATTAGTTCGTCATCACTAATTTTCTTTCTAAACTTGCTAGAATATGCAACGAACGCTTAGTTACAGCATTTTGGAACATTTATGTCGAATAACCCCGGACGTTGTCAAGTAAAATTAAAATTTACGAGAAGAAAATGAGAATGAAACTTATTTAGTAGAGAAATACACGGAATCGCACATAAATTGAAACAGCATAAGACAACTTTTATGAATACGACAAAAGTATTTAATTAACTTTAAACATCTTTCGCCATTATCTTGTGCAATCTTTAAAGTAGAAGATTGTGCTATATACTCTTCTACATACACGTGCCCGCTATATATACATCGCTAGGTATGTAGTAATATGCTAGTAATAATGTCGTTGTATATAAGTTCAAGCTTTTAACGTACAAGTTACTAAATAAACTAGAAAGTTCATTACAAACTGTAATTCGTGTTACTTTTGATATGTGTCAGAAATGTACATGAAGAGGAAAAGAGTAAAACAGAATATTTGGAAAGTAAATTAAATAATTGACGTACGAATATTTGTACCAAAGAAGGAAATTTACAATTTAAAGTTTCCCAGTATTCATAAAAGCTATCTTTTAAGTTTAGTGCTAGCAAGACTGTTTGAAAACACAACAAAAGTTTTTCAACTAAATTTGGTCATTTACATTTTGCTTTCTTACCTTGGCTTCCATAGCCATCATTAACACCTAATTGAATGTAGCCTTCAGAGAGAATAACTTCATTCTTGTTGTCCTCCACAACTGTGATTTGAAATTGATTTTCTTCGGCATGACATTGTTTAGGCAGAAGACGTGTTCTAATCCTGTACGAGTCGTTGCTGGATATAGTCAACATATTATTGAAGCTAATGTTGTGCACATCAGGTGCCGCGTTTGGAGACAAATGGATTGACATTGCTAATATTATTTCTATGTAAACAGCTGCAGGTATCACAGGATCAGAAGATTCAGCAAATTTGTGATCGTTGATATATGAAACATTGTGTAAATTGATTTCAGATTCCCAGGCGTGCAAACCAGTGAACGTTTCCGTTGGAACAGTTTTTCCAAGGAGGGGATGGAAAGTGACGAATGTTTTATTTTCTTCCGTTTTGTGTTGATCGAGAAATGTTACAAACTCAGACGGATGTTCATCGCGGTACCAAAACTCTGTTTCTTGCCATGGATACGTTGGACGTGGAAAAAATGATTTCGATCCCGAGCCTTGAACTTTATTCCAGGATAGTGGTACACCATTTGTGAAGAGATGGGCGACACAATTTTGAAGAAACGACAAATGTTGTTGACTGACCAAGCGTTTTGGCAGAGTTTGAACCACAATGGCATCATTTGCGCTTATGGATTTTGGTGTTTGATTGTGAGACCACGTCTGGCGAACATGATATGAAAGCTGAGGAGCAGCGTTGATTTCAATAAAGAGCTGATAGCCGTTAGAAAACATAGCTTTTAAGGCAGGTTCCAGTAAAACAACTTGCCGAATGTTTTTCCACCAATGCTCGAGTGAAAGAAGCTGGCCAGATAATTGACTGCCAACAACTGTTGAGTAAAATGGTATATTACTTGGTGTCTGACGTACGTGGAATTCACTTGTGAGTTTGAAGTAAGACTGCCTTATTTCTTCCATCTCTCGACTGTGGTATGCGCGTGTTGTAGCAAGTTTCTTCCAGAACACATCCTTTCGTGCGCTTTTCACATGTTTTTCAACAACTTCCATCAAAGCTTTATCACCAGCTAATACCACGTTACCTGGACTATTGATCGCCGCAACATCAACTTTATATTCTAACTGAAGATCTTGCAACATACTTCGTGCATCCTCTTCTGAAAGTCCAATGGCAGCCATACAACCTGTAGGTGAACATTTTTCGTGAAGTTGAGACCGAAATAAAACCAATTGCAAGGCTTTATCTAAACGTAATGCTCCACATGCCCAAGCTGCTGATATTTCTCCTAGACTGTGGCCAAGAACAGCAGACGGTGTGACACCCCAAGATTCCAATAATTCAGTTAAGGCAAAATGTATGGCAAACAAGGCTGTCTGTCCGATTGGGTTTTCATGAAGGCGGGAAGTTTCGGCAGGCTTGTTAAGCTCAGTAATTAAGGACCATGACGCTTTGTACCGGTCAAGAAGAGCATCAACCTTTTCAATGCTTTCCTTAAATTTTGGCTCATGTACTAACATTTCTCTTGCCATTCCATACCACTGAGCGCCTTGACCACCATACAGGAACACAACTTTATTACGCGTTTCAGTTACATCACCAGTAGCCACAAATTCTTCCCACCCAATTTCTTGATCGGCAAACTTTTCTAAAGCTCTTGCTGCATTTTCAAACGAGGAAAAGCTAAGCGCTAAACGATGAGAATGCACAGTGTATCTCTCGTTCAGGGAATAGCAAATATTATCTTTAAGAAGCTCGTCATCATCTGGTTTCTCCTTAAAGGACTGAGATACTTTCCTGGCCATTGCTCTTAATGCATCTTTTGAAGCAGCTGACAACGTCATAACTCTGCTAGATATACTTCTACTGGGGATTACAGTTACAGGGTTCTCTGTTACTTCTCTGACGATTACGTGAGCATTAGCACCACCAAAACCATAAGAAGAGACCGCAGCTGTTCTTGGCGTTCTACCATCGGTATTCCAAGGCTCATTACAAACTTGAACCATCATTCTTCTTTCAGACATTTTTAGCTGTGGTTTGACTTCACTTACGTTAATGGTTGGAACAAATCGACCATATTTTATCATCAGACATGTCTTGATTAACCCAGCCAAACCTGCAGTTGATTCGGTATGGTTTATGTTTGATTTCACTGATCCTAGACGAAGTATTCTGTTACTGCTATTGCCATAAACCGTTGCTAACGATCCCATTTCAACAACGTCGCCTACGGCTGTTCCAGTGCCATGGGCTTCAACATATTGTATGTCGTCTTTAGAAAAACCAGATTCTTGAAGGACTCTTTGAAACAAAATGGATTGAGTGACTTCACTAGGTGCTGTTATTGGAATTGCTGTTTTTCCATCGTTATTTACACCACAGGCCACAACCTCTGCATAAATATCATCTCGATCATCTAGAGCTGTTTTGGTTGGTTTGATCACAACCGCAGCTACGCCTTCACCTCGACCATATCCATCTCCTTTTATATCAAAGCTCTTGCAACGACCATCTTGGGCTAACAATCCAGTCCTGCAGCATGCTGTGTGGAACTTGTTACCCGTCAGAAGAATATTTGCTGCGCACACAATGGCCACGTCACATTCACCGGTTTGTAGATGTCCAAAGGCAACGTCAAAGGCCACTAAGGATGATGAACAAGCTGTATCCAACGTCAGACTCGGACCGGTTAAATTAAATGAGAAGGAGATGCGGTTGGCGAGAACGGACATTGCACATCCAGTGGAGGAAAACTGATCAACTTTTCGAATATTGGACGAATCTAAAACAAGTGAACCATATTCTAAGTTCATTAATCCAACATAAACCCCAGTTCGGGATTGCTGTAAGTCTTCAAGACGCATCCCAGCATCTTCAATTGCTTCGTAAACAACTTGGAGAAGTATTCGTTGCTGTGGATCCATTGAGCGACATTCTGTCTGGGATATTCCGAAAAATTGAGCATCAAGTCCGGCTATTTTTTCAAGAAAAGCTCCTGTAAGCACATAGTGTTTTCCGGGTGTGTCCTTTCCTGGATTGAAACAATCAATAAACTCTCTTGAGTTTGGTCTGTTTGTGGGATAAGAGCCAATACCACATCTACCGTCGACTAACATATCCCAAAAAGCGTCTTTCGAGGTAGCACCTCCTGGAAACCGACAACCAATTCCAACGATAGCAGCAGGAATGGAATTTTTAGCTTTTACGACATTGACAGATAAGTTTGTGTTTGTGGTTTTAAAGGATTTCTGTTTTCTTGCATACTTGAACCATTTTATTATAATTGAATTAATGTTTATTTCACGGAAGTCAAATATCTTTCCAAGAAGTGTTAGATACACAGGTAATATAGCCAAACCATGAACCAAACCAAGAACTACTATACCAACAAACATTTTGAAAAATGTTTTGAATACTGTGGAGGAAGCAAATCCTGTTGGCATCATTCCAATGAAAGTACTTAAACCTCCAAGAAAAACACTGCCGCCAATTTTGCTTAGTGCATCAATGACCCGTAGCTCAGGAGTGGCTACCTTGGAAGAAACAAAATGATAAGCGACGTGTGCGTTGTAATCCACAGAAAATCCTAAAGCCATAACAAGATTTATCATAGAAAGTGAGTTAACCGAGACATTCCAGATGTACATCAGTCCGAGTAGTTCAAGTATAAGAGCAATAAATCCACACAGTAGACAAATTATTATTACAAAATGATTTAGGAACATGGATGATATCAAAAGAATTGAAATTCCAGCAACAATTAAGTTTCTCATAGTTTCGTTAAGCACATGAGCATACTGTTCAAAGTAGATGAATGGTAGGGCAACAGCAAATGTGTCGACATCTGTGGAACGAGCGAGATCTTGTCTTATGCTGACCATCATATCCCTTTGAAAGATCGAATCACGGCTACTCTTGGAGTATACCAAAATCCTTGAGGCTGTCAAATGAATTTTATTTTTGGCAAATTTTAAATCTTGAGCAAATCTTCTATATTTTGGCAAGGAAATAAAATCTGACAAGTTTTTGTAGAAGATTTTTGTATTATTTATGTCAATGTTCTTTTCCTTTGCCCATGTTTGATATTCTGACAACCACGATATGCTTCCTGAAATGAAATTTCCATTACTTTTTACAAGGCTCTCTACATTGGAGTAAATTTTCTGAATTTCTTGGCTTGAGTGATCTACTTGTCCAGGAAAGATGATATTTACTTCGATATTAAGATTAAAGTTTTCTTCGTAAACGTTCAGAAATCTTTTATAGTCTGAATCCTCAGTTGTTAACAATTGCCTGTTGAAACTTTCGTCTATATTGATAGCGCCGTAAATACCACCAGACAAAAGAAGCAAGGAACACAGACAGACGACAACTTTCCCTGGAGTGGATGTTATTACCTTCCCCCAAGCTCTCATCACGTTGTCAAATCCATTAGCTCGAATACCAGAACAGCATTCAGTGGGAGGAGGACTCGTTAAACAAGGCAAAAAATCTCGACGTTGAGCGTTGATTCGTTTGATATCAAACCACATGCAACCAACAAAAAATGTCACCAGCATAAAAAATGCAGACCAAATCGTCAGCGCTGCGTATGCACAAAACAAACGAATCGCTGGAAAGATAGAACGACAGCTGACGGCAAATGCTACGAGATCAGTGAGGGTTGTCATGGTTATAGTTGGTCCACTTCTAGCCATTGTGCCACTAAGCATATGCATGGCAGGGATATTTTGATGCACCATTTCGTTTAGCTCATGTAGAATAATAAACACATCATCTATACCAATACTGACGACCAAGAATGGCAGAACACCTACCATACTGACAAAGGGAACACCGACAAACATTAAGAAGCCGAGTGCGGCTGTGACCCCTAAATAAATGGATAACAAGGCACCAAATCCTAAAAGTTGGTGTCCAAAGCGAGCATCTGCGCATCTACTGTTTACAATTCCACTGAAAATCCCCATAATAGTAAATGTCAATGCAAAGAACTTAATGTCAGATCCAGTACTTTCTGCCACTGAATCGTCCAGGCTCCGTTCTGCTGCGTAGACAATGTTTGCACATGTAGTATTTTCTGAGAAAGATGATACTTCATTCAAAAAATTCTTTTCCCACTCTAAAATGCCTTCTCTGTTCTCGTCTTCTCTCGGATATTCTTTGAAAAAGTAAACAATCCTCAAAGCCCTTTTGGAACCAAGTGTTGAACCATTGGAGGCAGCTTTCGCAAAGATTTGATTGAAATTATCTTGAAGTCGTCTTCCATTTGACATAAGAAAAGAATCATTCTGGAGTATGGTGTCAATGCGCCGTAAAATATTGGTCAGATTTTTCTTTTGGTAACCGAAAATTTCTAACAAATTTATTGAGGCACAACTGCTATTTGGGTTTGGTTTAAAACAGTATTTGTCGTAATGCTTTATGTGAGTGATAATCATATGTAAATCAATAATTTCCGCCAAACATTCTTGCGACAGAATAGACTTGTTATGTTTTGGCAAGACTATAACCTCTTCTTGTCGAAATTCAAGTTCAAAACCAAAACTTCTTGCCTTTCGTATATCCTGTGATGCCTCGCTGTCTTCAGGTAGAAACAAATATTTCACATTTTGCTCGACCTCCAACTTCAAAAATCCACAGGTTAGGCTAATGGTGACGATAAGGCAAACAAAGATCACATGAAATGGCCGTCGTGATATAAGCGTGGCAGATTTTTCAAAGAGCTTTTCAAGCAATACAATAAATAATTTTTGTAACAATGCCAAATTCCGTAAAAGTCCAGTTCCGAAGCGAGATCGTGGTAGTTCGTCGGAAATGTATTCGACATCTGTGTTGAGATTTCCACTGTCACTGGAATTAAGAATTAAAAAAGTAATGAAGTGTTTAAAATATGTGCTTCGTGAGTACACTATAGTACGGTATCAATTTTTTTCGCGCGCGGTTCTAATGTTATTATTATTATTATTACAAATTATTACTATATTATTATTATTATTATTATTATTATTATTATTATTATTATTATTATTATTATTATAGAAACAAATTATTACTATATTATTATTATTATAGAAACTAGAAACAAATTCAATCACTACTATTAATAATATGTCAAAATCAAAGCTAAAGAAATGCCTCAGAAACGTTAAACTTCAGGACGGCAAACTGGAAGAAATAAAATATGTCAGTAGACTGTTGCGGACGAAATTGCGCTCAGATGTTCAGTGTAATTATGAAGAAGAATTAAGTAAAGATTTTTGGAAATTTTGTAAAAAAGAGTTTGAAGAATCAGAGACACAAGAACCAAATTTTGACGAATCGTCCTGCTATGATTATTTTAGAAATATTTTCTT